CTGCGATTCCTAGTTAGTGAGTGAGATAAGCTGCTGCAGTGTGATGTCAAATCGCTATAATATATTACTTCTATTTGAAACAGGATGTTCAGCATCTGAATGAATAAAACCTTTCTGTTTGACAAATTTTAGTAGTTATTTGTGTGGTCAATAAATGTTATTACTTCAGTGTGTTAACGCCTAGGTGAGGGCGACGACGGCGCGGCGTCGAGGTCGGCGCGGGCGCATAATGTTTATGGCTACGGCCGAGATTCGAACGAAAAACGAATACGGAAAAATAATACGAGAATTACGTAAAGCAACACATTTCCTTATTCTACATTTTAAGTGGATAAATATACAACAATTTAATTCATATGCTTAAATTAGTTAATCTTAAGTGTTTGAAGGGAGGGAGACGAGGCGTCGAGTGTAGCGTAGCGTCACTATTTAGCTGGTCTCCTGATAGTGCGATGTCCATATTTAGTACGTGGGACACCTCGTATGTTTTGTTATTGGCCGAAAGCAAGGGCAGAACCTAAGGGAAAAGGATTTGCGGCGCACTGCATACGCCACCTGGACTTAGAGTGATAAGTCAAGACACACTGCTTAACTTGTGTTGTTCCAAGAAAAACTTACATATATCTATATCTATACTAATATTATAAGAGGAGAATGAACTGGACCGATTTTAAATATTCTTTAACCATTATAAAGCAAATTTATCTATGAGTAACATAGGCTATAATTTATTAACAGTAATATTGAAGAACCAGCAATAAACATCGTATATCTGGACCCCGATGTTAAAAAAGCATAATATTTTTTTCTCGGCTTACGTTGCCTAAACCATTAGAGCTATATAAAAATAACGTGTATAGGAATTGTAGATTTTAATAAGTTCTACAAAAAAGTCCGTAATAACATATATCAATCTTTAATGATTTCTTACAATTAATTAATAAAGGCATGCTATTTGCGTCGTTTTATTGGTTTCAATATTAATCCTTATACAAATAAATGCGTTTTGTTGTCAGGAGAATTTATTGTAGAATAAAATAGTCCTTCATATTATTCAAATTAGACTAATAGTTTAGAAGATATCGCGAACACAAACAATAAGCGTAACCGAAATATCAGCCCAAAAGCTACCGAACATAGATATTTGGAATCTGGCATCAGTAGATTTCTGTTATTACGTACATAGATTACTATTAAGTTAATACTTTAGGCGACAAGTTAAAAAACGGGCAAACGTAAGTTTTGATCTTTAAAACTCTACACGGGCTGAGTGGAGCTAGTCTTTTATAAAGAAACTTAACATTTTATCAGTTGTATAGAATAAAATCACTTTATCAAAAACGCGCATAAAATGACGTAGCTATATTTATCCTGTAATATTTATTTGATTCGATGAGTAACAGTAAAAGGTAAACAGAGAAATATAAGAAATAGGTACCTAATAGTTCATAGTTCTAAGAATTGAAGCGATTGACCATGAACTAAGAGAGCGGCGACTCGAAGCGATGGCTTGTGACTTGTGACGCATGCCCGAATCCCCCCCCTCCCCGGCTCAGTGCTTTGCTTACTGCTCAGTGCTAGCTCTTCTCTCGCTCTTGGTTCTTCTGCTGATTCTCGTGCCAAATTCACCCTTATTTGTTATAACTCCAAAATTTGTGTTATATCTGAGCCAAATTTTAATAAGACACGTTGAACAAAAAACACAGCTAATGTATCCCGTAGGAACAATGATAATTTCCGATGAAAAGTAACCTATGTGTTTTCCAGACTATCCTGTATATGTATCTGTCTAATATTATCGGAAGCCGTTCGGCAATTTAGGCTACAAACTGTAACAAACATCCATCTATTTAAACTTTCGCATTTATATTATTAGTAAGACTAGCTGTTCCCGTGCGGCTTCATGCGCATGAAATTATGAAAATTTTATTTTATTGTTCACATTTGTCAAATTATCAATAGCAAATGTCAAAATAACATGACATGACAAACCTTAGCAATCTTGCTTACTTGATGTTGGCAGCAATTTACGGTCTCTTTCTCACATTAGAGTTTTTTCCAAAATATTTATCCCCTAAGTTTAATGTCGTGAAAATATATAGGCTAAAGCGTGACGTAAGTGTAGGACTTTTTATTAAAAAATAATTATTCAAAAATATGCTGTAATTGCTGACATCTTAGGTAACAAAGAAATGTGTGTTTACGCTTTATTATAATAGTATAGTAGATATAGATTACTGTACAAAAATTTTGTTTGCACAATCAAGCTCGGACTTCTAAAAAATGCTTATAATGAAAATAGCCTAATAAATTGTTCAAATCGTGAGTTAGGTAGAAAAGTAGAAGTTTTTGCAATGACTTTTTGTCAATGTTACTTTAAGGGGGTTTTATTGTGATCAAATCCGTCGCAGATATCTAAGAATAAGCTAGATAGAGATTCTAAAATAAGGGTGGTATTTGGGATAATATAGTTACAATAACTGCAAATTGAAGTATTATATGTCCGGGCAGGCGCACGTCAACGCGCTGTTTATCCTCGTCGCGGGACTTCCCACACACGGGGATCCCTGACATTCGCAACAAAGATTTAAGCTAAAATCGCCGCACGAGAAACTTAGAATAAATGTTGAATACTGGACACCTCGCCGCGCCCGCTGAAGCCCATTGCTGTGTTGGTGTCGCTGAACCACTTTAAGGCAAGTATCCGTGTAGTTCACAGGCGACAGGTAGGCGGGCGGCGAGCCGCGCACTTCACCTTATCGCTTCAATTTGCTGCGCCCGCCACGGTGGCGGCCGCCGTGCCGCCAGCGTTTAACTGCCGTCACATCTAATGTTGATAATATAACCATAGCTGCTGGAAAGTCACGATTCTAAAAATTGTTTCCTGTTTCGGAATATAAGGCCACGGAATTTAAGTATTCTCTCCCACAATTTCGTCCGTGAGCAATTAAAAATAACGTATTAAAATTCGTTCAGATTATCTTTTGCATCTGAACATAATTTTACCAAGATTTATTAAACAATTTTGAAGATAATATTGCATTCGTAATATTAGTATGAACTATGATTAGTATGACGTGATTGATGAGAGAATGAACTTATGTACACATAGAGATATGTGTACCTATATGTAAGTACTATATCTAATATAAAATATCTGTATATAGTACAGTGTAGTATTTTTTCGTACAAATTCTATATTGCAGCATAAAACCACACAATGAATAGTAAATATTTAAGCCAACGACTGCAAATCGTCAGATGTATAGCGGATGATAACATAGATAAGATTATGGTAAGTACTTGCACTACACAAGAGCTATTTGTTACAAACAAATACTGTAATATTTGAGGGAAGAACACGTTATAATTATCTCAAAGAATTGAAATGCATAAGCGTTACATGAAATAAAACACGCTTATCTAAAAACATTACGAAAACACTTGAAGTGATGATTTGGTTTATCGCATTGTTTTGATGTGTGTATATAAAGTTATTTTACATGTTACAGTGGCGCGTATTCACTTGATGCGAGAGTGGCGCCGCAAACGCACGACAAACGCACGACACGACAAGAAATTGATGCGAGCACGCTGCCGCCGCCGCCGCCGCCGCTCCGCCCTGGGCCCCTGCGCCGCCGTTCCCCCCTGGGCCCCGCGCCTTCGCTCCGCCCTGGGCCCCGCTCCACCGCGCCGCACCGCGCCGCACCGCGCCGCACCGCGCCGCACCGCGCCCCGGCTGGCGCGGGGGACCGGCAATGACATTGCTCAGTGCTCATTGTTTGCGCTGGTGACTAGTGATTGCATCTCTAATGCCCTCCGTAGCATACCATTGTTTTAATGCAATACCTACGTAGTACAGTTTGTACATTATGTAAACTAGTTTTCGCCCGCGACTCTGGCCGCGTGGAATTTAAAAAAAAAACGAAATTAAGCATCTTATGTGTACTTCCACACTCTTCTCTACATCTATGCCAAATTTTGAAGATATCCCTTTAGCAGTTAAGGCTACAAACTCTACCATCCATCCATCCATCCAAACTTTCGCATTTATAATATTAGTAAGAAGTAAGGTTACAATTTTCTAAGCCTGGTAGCTTATGATCTGATTTTTCGTTTATCCTTATTTTTTATGTTCGCGATATCTTCTAAACTATTAGTCCAATTTAAATGATTTAAAGGACAATTTTATTCTGCATTAAATTATCCAGATAACAAATGCATTTATTTGGATAAGGATTAATATTGAAAACAATAAAAAAGCGCCGCAAATAGCATGCGTTTTATATTCATTTTGTAAACAAAAAAGTGGTTATTGTAAGAAAACCGTTAAAGTTAGATATATCGAGGTCTTTTCTGTAGAACTTTTTGAGATCTACAATTCTTTTATACATCATTTTTATATACCTCTAACGGTTTAGGCAACGTAAGCCGAGAAAAGTTAAAACATTGTGATTTTTTAACGCGGTGGTCCAGAAATATGTTGTTTATTAAAATCGGCTAAGTAGTTTTTGAGTTATTTAAATACATACAAAAATACAAATGTTTCCTCTTTATAATATTGGTGTAGGTAACTTTAAAGTGTCTTCTCGCAATGTCAAAAAAGCAAACAATAAAAAAAAACAACATAAGTAGTGTTGCACATTGTGTAAGTAATAGTGAGTACGGTTCGTACTTTAGTATTTAGTATTTTTTGAGTCCATATTTAAAATATATTCTAATCATTTTGCTGCGTTGCGCGTTGCGCGTGCGCTGCACATCTTGTCAACTTGCATAAACAAACTGGTTCTCTGTTTGCGGGGGTGGGGCGGGGGAGGGGCGGGGGCACCACGTGCCGCAACGGGAAAATAAAAGTGGTCGAGTGGGTCGCCGGTCGCCAGTCACATGACTACTCCCCTCCGCCTCAGGCGTCGCCGCCGCCGCGCGCTCTCGCAAGCCGCGTGCGCAGCACACCGCCACCCGCCGCCCCCGTGCCCCCGCGGCCCCGCGACCCCGCGCCCCCGCCCTGTATTGGCGATGTTGACGAGTATTGGAAGCGATTGATTTTAATTGTATGAGATCTTACAAACATTTTGGTATGTGCCTCTGTTATATTGATACACTTTAGCATGGTGTGCACATGTACCAACGTAACGTCAATTAGGGGTCACCATATCGCGTGAGTCTCGAAAGGGGGAAAATAAAAAAATCACGAAAATTGAATGGGGAGGGGGCTAAAATAAGATAAAACGTTTAATTACTTCCTGTCTGATGATATTGAATACATTAACGAATTGTGAAAATTGTAGGTATAGCTTGATAACGGACTGATCTGTCAAATAATGGTTTCAATGATAGCAGAATGTGCAGAATGTGCAGTCGGAGCAGCTGGCGGTGTTCCTCCGTAAAACTACAATCGTTGGATGAATTTGGAACAGGAAGTACAACAAAAATCAATACAACGCAGCTTAAAAATATATCTGTGTGAAAAAGTTGGTTAGTGATACACGGCTAGTTTCTTTTCTTTCAATCATACTTATGTTATAAATGCGAATGTTTAGATGGATCGATGTTTGTTAGAGTTTGTAGCCTAAACGGTTGAACGAATTTCGATGAAATTTGATATGGATGGTAGAGGATAGTCTGGAAGAACCCATAGGCTTCATTCAACATAGAACACTTTTGTTTTTATTAATTCCACGCGGACGAAATCTAGTAAATAAATAAGTTCAGTTCCTTTTTATTATTATCCCTTCTTTGTACCACTCATTGACATGTAATTAGTAATCTGTAGGGAGAGGCGGAATTTGTCTCGTTGCAATGAAGAAGGCATTTTTCCTGAAGTGGAACACCGCGGATTTCCGCGACTCGACCTAGCTGTTAGGTGGTTAGGTGGCAGGTGGGCACCTACATCTTATGTCACTGTCATCATTTCAATGTGTTGTCCGCAAAATACTCATAACCACATACGCTTAGATGGCTTAAAGTTAGACTTATCAGATAACAAATATCCTTCAGAGATGCATACATTATATTGTAATTTTATTAAGATAAGATACATAATAACTTTGTGTTAGTGCGCGTGCGGGAGGGGGGGGGGGATTGTGCGGTTGCGATTGCGATGACTTCATTCGTGATGCTTGCGATCGCTTATGCAAATGAGACGAGTCTTTTTATGATTAAATAACGGTTATTTAGTTAACGTTAGTGCTATAAGATTATCTCGTGCCTGCGTTATTATAGGCAACCGATGGTTCCGGGCGAAGTGGGGGTGGGGTGGGCAACCTGCCGAATTCGAGGTTCCTGGTCAATGGGGATGACTCAAGTAAAGAAGTGAACGAAGCAAATGCGGATCTAGGAACCGGTAAACATCGATAAAATAGGTTCCATTACTAATCTAATAACTAATACGATAGAATGTGTACTTAGACCTTTCAAGCCTTGCATCACTAGTCGACGATCCCTTGACACCAGTCAATGTTTACTTTGTGAAATAAAGCAAGCCCCCAATAGACACTAGATCCACCTCTAAGTTGCCTAAACGAATTATTTATGTATGTAAAGGAGGTATACAGTATTGGGATGGGATGGGAAGTGCACGATTATCTAAATCTAAACGTTATAGAGAAGAAAGATTTGGCCACAGAGCTCAGATAAAATGTCGGGTTCTGTATGTATGCATTCAGCACTTACGTACCTGGTCTTAACGAGATTCATAAAAAGGTTAGAGAAAAGATTTGTGCATGACAATAGATCCTTTATAGGCCGACGTTAAAATTGATTTACTGATCAATACAGTCAAACAAGAAGTGTTTAGTGATTTTTTTTTATAACTTTTAGTTAAGTATCTGTTCATTACATTGCGCTCCATCTCAGGACAATTGCAAAGAAAAATTACAATAAGTATTAAAGATGGCACGAATAACAAGCTGTTTTCAGAACCATAAAAAGGCATTCAATTTAGTAATTATGCAATTGATTTGCCGCACAGCTGTCGAGGTGAAGGCCGCCGCTTCCAATGCGGCCGCCTGCTGCGCCTGCCGCGCCTGCCGCGCCTGCCGCGCCTGCCGCGCCTGCCGCGCCTGCCGCGCCTGCCGCGCCTGCCGCGCCTGGAGCCCACTCCACTACCGCCTACCGACTACTACGCTTTTGTACCGCACTTCGGTTCGGCCCGCCCGATGCAGCGCCCGCTGTCGCGACCATCTGCTGACCAACAAGATGCCTGTCATAACTTACACTTACTGTGCCAAATATACGAACCTCCGCTCTGGATACCAAATTATATAGCAATCTAACGAATTATGGCTTATTCAATTCTTTATCGCAAAGAGATTAAATATCAACCAAAATTAAAGATTAACTCGCACAGTGCCAGAGTGGTTTACTATAGCGCAGTCTCCCCTTACTTGGTTACGCTCCTAGCCTCTTCGTGGGGTTGGGGACATAATGTGTTCTCCTGACTACAGTTACATGAATGCTAGGAGCTAGGTAGGACGTTAAGTTGCCAGATTAAACTTATTTTGCCTTATTTCATTTTGATGCTTGGCTATATTAATCATTAATTTGTATGTAAATCATTCTTTTGTGTTATGATCATAATAGACCGTTGTTCTCTACTGCCTAAATACTTGTATCAGAATTGAGAGGGGCCTCAAGTACGAATTTGTTGTTTGAATGCTTTACTATGGAAATGGACAGCCGCAGGTAGTGCTGAGCCGGGTTGACGCGTCTTCGTCGTACCGCCACTAGTAACGGCGCAACGCGCGTCGCGCCGTAACACCAACTGCCTTCGGTTAAAAATATTAAGCGCGCGAGCAAAAAATTGACAAATCAAAATAAATCCAAGACCGTTTTACACTCCATTGTTATTTTTTTTCGCTCCGGTAAAACCGGTCGGTGATTCATTTGGCGTCGTGTTGTGTTCAAAAGAGAATGTTTGGAAAAAATAGCAGACATACAACTGCGTTTCCGCAGCGTTGTGGGTACGCGAGAACAATGTGCGCGCGACGCAGGTACGCGCCGCCGCCGCCGCCAGCTGTCGCCGCAGAGCCGCCTCTTTAATAACTTCTGTTTCGTAATGCCCAGTTTATATTTTTCTAGTCCAGAGATTCAATCCTACTATGGTATACAAATACAACTGAATAAAATCATTTTATAAACACTAAATGTTCTGGATTTATTTGACATTGTAGTTCAGTAACTTCATTGGCTGTTTGTATTTTTAAGTTGATACAAAAACACCAGTCCAATTGGAACCATGAAAAAAGCGTAGATATACCTACTAAGCTTTGTCAACGAAGATCTATACCTACATATAGGAATTAAATTTACAAAAGCAAAACTCACTATAAAAAAATATTTGTTGAGGTTCTCTCCCTTGCTTCATACTACTCATACTGATCCCTTGTGGTGATGATGTTTGCTTTCTTTGCATTTCTAATATTTCACCATTATTAACAAAGTTCTCACAAAAACGCCTATTAAAATTTTATGTTTATTGAAAAGGCAATACACATGTCATGATTGTGACAAGAAAACAATTTCTGTGACGTCTTTTCATTACTCATATCGTGTATTAATTATAATTCGATACATCAATTATTAAGTATCAGTTTACTACTTTTATTAAAACGTAATAATATGTATGATGTCGGTAAGCTATCGTACTGCTCCGGGCGCGTCGAGCATCCCGCTGCCCATGACGTCACAAGCGATGGGCGCAGTGGGGGCGCGGGCCGCGGGGCGGGCGGCGCGCAGCCTCCGCGGCGCGGCGGCCCCGCAACCCTCCCGGGCAGTGGGCGGCGGCGGCGGCAGCGGCAGCCGCAGCCGGCAGTACCGCACGGGCTGCGTCGGTGTACGCGCGCGTTTTGTTCGCACGCCTTTCCGCACATCGCGCTTCAGCGCAATAACGAACGCCGTCAAGATCGCTCAACCGCCGAACACCCTCAGACAGCAGCCCGGCATGCGCTCCTGACGTCCCGCCCCGCCGGCACAGCAGCGCAAGTGAGTGTCCGTTGCCCGGACAGCTTCACCTAACTGCCCCCCGTAGCCAGGTGCGCTTCGGCGAACTGCGATCTTCCTCATCGTCCTAGGGACTCGTCTGTGCTTGCCCAAAAGGTACATTGACGAATTATAAATTGTCAGAATGACAGGGAACGAGTACGAGGTGTCGTGCGTGATGCTTCCGATTGTAAGTGTTGCTTCGATTGATGCGCCGGTGAAAGAAAAAGTCTGCGTGAATGAGGACCGTCACATGACGTGCGAATATTTCCACCTACGACGCTTTGTCTCCAAAGAGTGATACGAGTGCCAATTTCACGGGAAAACTGTGCAAAATTATTAATTTATGCAAGTCGATTAATTTATTACAATTGTCGTTTTAGGAATATTCTGAAAGTTCAGTCAGGTTTATGAAGCTCAAAACCCATGCAGTGTGTTTATGGTACTTTGAATTATCGTAGGATTGATAGTTACCGACTGTCATACTCAAATATCACTGTCTGGCGAGGAGTGGTACGGTCGGATGTTTAACATAAAAACATTTGCTTGTTAGGGTAGGCCTCTATTGCGGAAAAACCTGCACAATAACATCATATTTATTATCGCTGTTTCTTATAATAGAATAAGGACAATATTTGTTTTTTGTACAAGTGTTCCGGCATTGGGACTGACCATTATTGATGCCTAATTTTCGTAAATAAAGATGCAATTAACACGAGCACGGCTAAACTCATTACGTAATGTTATTTTCAAAGATTTATTCCCCCGTGTGGATTTAGTGAGAAATAGACTGTGGACCTACTATACCTTAAATGTTTACCGTAAACCGACAAGATGCTCGACAACGCGGCGGCGTCGCACTTCGAAGAGCCTTTCGTAAATAAGGCAAATTAAATCTTAGTCGCAAAGCAACAAAAGCACTACAATGATACAGAGAAGTGGTCAGTGGTAAAAATTCATTGAGGATGGTATATGGGCACGCGTCGTCGGCATATTGTTCTTTCATCGCTGTCACCAGTAGGTAGAATCGTCGATAACAAAGTTCCCTTGATTTTAAGATTCCAGAGTGAATCTGTACAGTTGCCTTTTTATAAGTTCGTAATGGATATGCCTCTAGAGCCGCGGTGTCAATATTGCATGTTGCCATGATGATCGGTGCACTTCAAAAGAAGTGGCTGTGCTGTAGTGATCATATTGACGGCACGCGCTGACGATTTAATATGTGTTCATTGCCAGATTTAGCTCTATTATAGCGCCCTGGACAAGATGTCTACAAAACCCTCCTTTTGGCTATGACTAACCTGTGACGCCCATTTCTGTTAGACGCCGTAGGCCTAGGCGTTCGTCCAACCGCGCCCTTAACTAGCGTCGGCTGATTATGTTGTGAGCACGGACCACGTGCTACGAGTTACTTGCGATGCAAGAATTCTATGTAGTTGCGAAGGTTTAAGGTGTCCTTCTGTAGCTACAAAGGGTCGTAAGCATATTGTCGACACCTGATGGATTCGATGACAACGAGGGGCAATCGGGTCGGTGAAAGTCAATAGATGAACCACTTGTGAATAACGCTTCGTATACGCGTTGAATACTTTCAACTTACAAGTTAACAATATCACTTTTGTAGCACTAGCCTAAAAAAATCTAACCTATGTTACTCACAGATAAATTTTATGTTACTCACAGTTTATTTTAAAATCGGCTCAGTAGATTTTAAGAGAATCAAACAAACGAAAAGACAGACCTTTCTTCTTTACCATAGGTATAAATTAGGTCGCTTCATTTCAAATTATGCGCTTCATTGATGTAATTTGTATGACTAATTATATAATAATGATAATATAAATAATTTAATTTGTATGAAATAAAATGTTCTTATGTGGTAAAAAGATAAAATGTTTTGCATCAATGACCGGACAAAAACCCCCTTTTGCTAGTAAGGTGCTGCCCATCGTGCGCGTGTGTGCGTGCGATACGTACTTACCGTCGCAAGTCGCAAATCGCAAATGTTGTGTTGTATCGAGTGCGGATCGGATTGTGTTTCCATCACCACTTCACTTGACTAACCCATTCGCATTTGTATATATAGATAGATTTGTACGTATGTACATAAGTAATTTATTACACGTTTTGAACACTGCATTTTGTCCATTATAAAGGGCCCAGAAATATCATAAACCGACAGATAATTTTAATCTGAACGGATCATTTCATTCTTTATCATACATGCTGTGAACAGAGTTATAAATAATATATACATGTTTTCGAACTTCTCGTTTTACCTTAGAGAAAATTTTCCTCTGGTATACTATGTATACGTTACGTTGCTTAGTATTCTGTACGTTTTGCTATTCTGAATAAAACATAAGAAAGATGTACCGCACGTGTCGGCCGATGTCGATGTAGGACTAAAATTGATGATCGTAAGATCAGCTCACGGTTCGTACGGGTGAAGTAGATCGGTGAACTGGCTCACAGATCATCACAATTTGTACCCGCATAGAGGCGAGATTTGAGCCGCGAACTGTGAGGTCACAGTCTAGCACAGTCTTCGGCTCCCATAGTAATAGATACGCATCAAGACGCTCTAAGATGTAATTATATTAGAGTGGAGTAAATACGTATTTACAGTTGGTCAGTAGCGCTCAATAACTGGACTGGCAATCAATTATTATCAGTGAGCATGTCAGTCCAATGACTTGCTCAGCGTTCTACCTTTTAAAGCAATCTAGCTATTCCGCAGCAACTGTTGTAGTGTGTATAGTCTGTGCTGTGCCAGTCCTGGCCAGATGCAACAACTGAAACTGAACAGGAACAATACGTTGCTTGTTTATATTAATTACTTATTATCAGTGGACTGCGAATAGGGAATCGACCGCCATTATTATAGTTTGTAGATTTTAATGTGTTAATATTTTTATTATTAGTCATTTATAATTGCGATTTTTTTTTAGTAATAATGTTAACTATAAGACCATGATGACTGAGCTGGAATGAAAATAAGCGCTCCGTTGCCGGTGTGCATATGCACCTGAAAAAACCTGAACATTGATAGAATGGTAACTAAAAACAGGGATTTGAGGTTATAAAATTAGGGTTTGTTAAAAAATACTTTCAACCGCTCTCTGAAACTTATCATCATGAGGATTAACAACGCCAATACAGTCCCTGCCGGACCTGCGCTATTGAACGACTGTACTGGCTACGTGTGAACCGCGCATAAAGAATTCGGTTGTGCATTCCGCTCAGTCAGTCTGAACATACCTTTATGTAGCGAGCATTTTGTATTTGTCGCGACATTTGCACCTTCTAATATTTAAACTTAGTTTTTAAATACTTTAAGCCCGCATCGACTCAGTACAAACTGTCATGGTCTCGAATGTAATTAATTTTCATAACCTCGTGTCGACTCCTGACTGCTGACTGCTGACTGCCGACAGCTAACTAATAAATGCCGTTTGGAATATAAACTTCATTCAGTGAAACATTTTGCATACTAGCCGATGTCTTTTGTCATCTTCCTGATATAAGTATTTATTACTTAAAGAAATGTCGATTTCAATGACACATCTTTTTGCAGGATGATCCCGCGCCGCAAACACAACGCTTCCTCGGCCTCCCTGCCGCCGCCCGACGACAAGCACGCCAGCAACGACTACATACGTGAGTGATACAGCCGATGTAAGCGGTGGGGTTGGCTAGAGAGTGATACTTGCTCTGATAATTACTCTGATTAGCCATTATATCCGAAATTCTCGCAGTCGCCGCTTATAGATGTTGTCCGCTTGTAGCACTGCTGTTGCCATGAAACAAAATGTACGTTTTTGTTTTGTAATCTCTGCATATCTGTCTTTCACTTTTTTAACAACGCGGTGCGAAGTAGTCGACGTATTTAGGGATAGGGGAAGGTAATCATATCGAGAGCGCTGACGTGTGCCCTGAGCTTGACCACGCACCCCGTGCAACTCGCGGCGCCACGCCCCCACCGCCCCACACCCCCTCATCCCTTCTCCCCCTCGCCCTACCACACCGAGTGCACACCGCACTACACCTACGCCGTTCATCACTGGCACTCGCTACCTGCATTAACCACACGGTCTAAACACGCTATTGTGTTTTGCGTTGCGTTGCATGTTATCCGCGTGTCGAACTCGAATTGTATTTATAAACTAAATTTAGTTGGAGATTGTATTGTTTACAACTTATTCTGACACACGACCTTAAACAAGTATTCTGACGGGTCGGTGTGTGGCCCTGGCCGTGACCGTCGTTTATTGCGACGACGCGAAGCGATCAGCTCAATGTTTGACTCTGCAGTGTCGGAGGGCGCGCCGGGCGAGGGCTGGTGCGCGGCGCTGCGGCGTCGCCTCAACCGCAAGACGCTGCACAAGCGCGTGCCCATCACCGCGTGGCTGCCACGGTGAGTATATTGCCGTCGTGACCGTTTGCTCACTTTATACATTTAAGCAGTTATCAGATGTATTGCGACTCTCACATAATCTTCACATAATATGTACCATATATTTATACGTCTAGACTAGATTAAGTATGCGGAGCATAAAAGTGAGTCCTGTTTAAGTCCTTCGGTAGCTTTTTTGTGGTGTCATTTACCTTACTATATCTATACTTATCTATCTGTATTCTATTTCTATTTCTATATATATACTTCTGTACTAATATATTGAAAGCGTAAACACTGTACTTCCTGGCGTAAGATGTCAGCAATCAGAGCATATTTTTGAATAATACAATATTTAATAAAAATTCCCTACATTTACGACACGCTTTAATCTGTATATTTTGCACGCTATTAAACTTAAGGGGTAAATAATTTGGAAAAAACCCTTATGCGGGAAAGGAACCATAAACTACAAGCTGCCAACATTAAGGAAACAAGGTTATTTTATGGTAACGGATGATTTGTCATTTACATTTGAGAATTTGACAAATGTAAACAATAAAATAAAGTTTGATAATTTCACGCGGATTAAGCCGCACGGGAACAGTTGGTATGTATATATACATAAAAGTAAATCGAATTACAACGTTTTTTTTGCTCTTTTATTTATTGTTTATTTCTTAGGTTCACCTAAAGTTAAATAAATGAAGTAGTTGATAATCGTCTTACGGCTTAATATCAAAGTTATATCTTATATCTATAGTTTGTCTAAATAAAATAGATTAGCTTGATATATGGACCTGGCACTAGCCCTCACGGCGTATGGGGAGCGTCCTCGGGACCACAGCTCAGCTACGTTAACCGGCTAAGCCCGATGGGCTCGCTGACCAAAGTAGGATGTGGTCATCCAGCAATATGGGGGTTGTGCGGCGGGCTGACAACCTGTCCACGGAAAAAAGTCTTTGTTACGAAACCGACACGAGAATAAGTATGTTGTAAGTAAGTTTGATAAATGACGCATATGAAGTATCGAATTAAATTTCAATAAAGGCAAATGCCGTACTTAATAGACAGGTATCGTAGAGACGAAACATGCATAGGAAATAATTATGAACTATCGATATTCGGTTTAAATATAATTTATCGAACTTGACTAAAATAATTATTTTCTTATTAACTAATTTAGAGGACAATTTTAGTATTGATTATAGTGTAGAGAATTTAGCGATGACAATAATAATAGCGAAATACAATTCGATTACGTACGGTTGTAGAAGTAATAAATATTTATTTACTCTCATTATTTGAAATGGTTCTGCAGGTCATATTTAATTTGAGAAAACATTGTTTTTTTAATTCATAAGTTGTAACTATGAATCTATCGATTCCAACTTCTATAAGAGTAAGAATCGAAAATCAAAAAGATTCATGACTGCTTTTACACAACCCATCCCTACTAAATTGTCAAAGTAATCTTCCTTATTTAGACAAACTATAGAGTCAGCCTAATGTGCCGTCGCTAGTCGCTATACATGCAGCAAACGCATAACGTGTGCCATGTCCCTGCAGGTATAATGCGGAGAAAGCCCTCGGAGACCTGATCGCCGGCATCACGGTGGGACTTACCGTGATCCCGCAATCGCTAGCATACTCCAACATCGCGGGCCTGCCGCCGCAACACGGC